AGAGTTCACTGGTTCATTCCTGGTCAGACACATGCCTGGGTTGCGGGCTCAATTCCCAGTAGGGTACGTGCAGAATTCAGCTGATTAATATTTCTTTCTCATCAATACGTCTATCTCCCTCTCTCTTGGAAAACTATGAATAAAAACATACATTTTTTTATGCTTATGAGTAAGGAAAATAATGATTCAGGGTGATACCTGAATTCTCACTGCTAATGTAAGACGAATTTTTGAGCCAGTAAAGGTTGCCCCTAAGGTGACCCGCCTACTTTTCAGGATGCCTGGGAGTTTCAATCTGCCTGAACAAAACAAAACAAAACAAAACAAACAAACAAACAAACAACAACAACAACAAAAAAAATATATATATATATATATATATATATATTTTTTTTTTTTTTTTTTTAAGTGAAAGAATAAAACTAAAGTAATCTTTATGGGGACCACTGTTCCTTAGGACAGTCCTGTATTACACAGAACATTTCAATAGCTGATACAAGGCCAGCTGTGGTCAGAAGTTACAATTCTGTTAAGGAAAATTTAAGGTGGTGTTCCTAAATAATAACTCAAAGAAGATTAAAAAAATTATAAGGACACATGAAATCCCACACATCAGTAATCTATTTGAAATTCTGGTTATATCTTTCCAAACATTTTTCAATAAATGTTTATACATCTGTGTATCTTTATACATGTGTACAAGTGTGTATTTTCTTATCCTATATAATAAAAGCCTAATGTGCTAAGTATGCAGTCAACCAATCAAAGTATAATATGCTAATGATATGCTAAGGCCACTCAACTACTCGCTATGACATGCATTGACCACCAGGGGGCAGATACTAGACAAATCGACCAGTCACTATTACGTGCACTGACCACCAGGAGCAGACACTCCAAATGGTAGGTTAGCTTGCTGCTAAGATCTGACTGATCTGGACTGAGAGAGATGGTCTGGAAACACCCTGGAGCCCTCCTGTGATCTCTCCCCAGCTGGCCAATCTCCTGAGTCCCTCCCCAGCCCCGATTGTGTACCAGTGGGATTCCTCAGCCTGGCCTGTGCCCTCCCAAAATCCAGGACCCCTCAGGGGATGTCCGAGAGCCAGTTTCAGCCTGATCCCACAGGCCAGGCCAAGGGACCCACTGGTGCACGAATTTGTGCACTGGACCTCTAGTGTGTGTGTGAGTGTGTGTGTGTGTGTGAGTGTGTGTGTGTGTGTGAGTGTGTGTGTGTGTAAAATACATATATATTATAATTTCAAAAAATTTTAAATACATTTTATTGATATTTTTACAGAGAGGAAGGGAGAGGGATAGAGTTAGAAACATTGATGAAAGAGAAACATCAATCAGCTGTTCCCTGCACACCCCCACTGGGGATGTGCCCACAACCAAGGTACATGCCCTTGACCGGAATCGAACCTGGTACCCTTTAGTCCACAGGTTAACTCTCTAATCACTGAGCCAAACCAGTTAGGGCTAATTTCAAAATGTTTTTAAATTCATATTAAGATAAAAATTATGGCACATAAACTTTTATGGACCCATCATTGTCATGAGTCATTTATGTGGAATACTTCAATTCTGAAATGATTATAGAGATTAAAGGCAATATTTTGTTATTATTAACTTAGTCTCTATGGAGAACATTCTTACACAATAGGGGAAAAATAGAAATACACAAAGTCCCTAGAATTAAAGAAGTTTCCAAGTATCAAGTAATATAAAAAGACTTAGACATAGAAGATCTAAGTTCAACTCTAGCTGTATTCCTTGCCAGCTATGTGACATCAGCCGGCCCTTCCACCTCACTGAGTCAACTATCTTCTATATAAAGCAAGCACCCCGCTGAAACCAGTTTGACTCAGTGGTAGAGTGTCGGTCTGCAGACTGAAGGGTCCCAGGTTCGGTTCCGGTCAGGGGCATGTACATTGGTTGCGGGCACATCCCCATTGGGGGGGTGTGCAAGAGGCAGCTGGTCGATGTTTCTCTCTCATCAACATTTCTAGCTCTCTATCTCTCTTCCTTCCTCTCTGTAAAAAATCAATAAAATATATAAAAAAAAAAAAAAAAGCAAGTGTGTGGATTAAAATAAATATTTTATGTAAAAATACTTTGTAAACTAGACACGGCTAATCAAAAATAAGAATTTAAATAACAGATATAATGTAGAATTTTAAGCATAATAAAGACTTGTATTCTCTTAGACCTATCCCATTCAATGTTCCTACTGCCTGAAATCCAATTCAATAGGGGTCCTATTGGAGGAAGGGGAGTCAATGTTATGGCCATTGTAGGATTTTATGCCTGATATCTGCCCTTAATGCCAGCAGTGTCTCCCACCATGGCACAAATTTATTTCTCTAAATTCATCTCCTTTTGGTTTAGTCACTCTTAGAGACTGAATTGTCAGTAAGTTAATGACTTTTGAATCCACATTTACAGTCCTTTTCTCCAACCAATGATCTAGCTCCAAAGTTTCAATCTGGAAACACTTGGGGTGGATGGAAAACAACTGTTAATTTTTCTCCTTTTCTGCCACATTGCCATTATTTAACTCCAATGCTAAAAATTCTATAATAACTCTTTAGTATTTTATATATACTATTTTAAAAAAACAAAACCTGGTTATGGTATTGTTTTAATTGAGAGCTGGAAGCCTCAATGTGATGTTTCCTGGTTTGTCTCTCTGGCTTTTATTAGATCAGTCAAAAAAAAATGTTAAAGCACATAATTTCTCTCAAGGCATTGTAATTTATTCTAGTAAAAGTACAATCAACACAAACAAAGTTATATAGCTTCTCCCATATAAAATACTGACTCTGAAGGAGAGAGGAATTCTGGGTAGTTGAGACAATGAGGTTATGTAAGTCGAAAATTCTTAGTGTATCCTCACAAAAACCAATACAGGAAAACAAAAAGAACAATTAAAACTACACAAAACTCAGATCTTTAACACATCCAAACTTCTAATTACATGTAAAAAGAAACAGACAAACCAAATACCAATGAGCTATCTCCCATGTTCCAGCTGCAAGCCTCTGAGGACAGTGAGGGCAGTTTAGAGAAAACAAAACTGAACAGAGAAGACAGAAGAGTATAAGAGTAATTTCATCTTTGTCCCTGCTTCCTGATACAGGGCTCCTAAAACTTTTGGAATTTTCTGAATGACAGAAGAGTATTTTGTTATTCATAAGGAGCCTCCTTTGAGCAAACTAGAGTTTTTGCTAATGAGGTGATTTAGGATGGAGCCCCTATATAACCTCTGGAAGGGGCTGGTCATCAGAAAGACTAAGTGATTAGAGGGCTAGAACTTTCAACCTCACCCACTAACCTCCAGGGAAGGACACGGAAATTAAGTTCTGTAAAAACTCTTGGACAATAAGATCTAGTGAGCTTCAAGACTGGTAAACACCACCACAGCTGGGAGAGTAATTCACCCCAGTTTCTGCACTTGGGACCTTCACGAACTCTCCCTATGTACATCTTCATCTGTCTATCTCTATCCTTTATAACATTAAAAAAAAAAAAAAAAAAAAAAAAGCCTGGTAAAAGTAAAAGCCATTCTAAAAAATGATCAAATCTGAGGAGGGCTCATGGGAACCCCCAATTTACAGTTGGTAGGTCAGAAGTACATGTGACAACTTGAACTTTTGATTGACATCGGAAATGGTGCAGTCTTGTGGAACTGAGCCCTTCATCTGTAGGGTCTGATGTTATCTCAAAACTGAGGTAAATTTATAGGATACCCAGTTGGTGTCTGCTAAGAACTGAAGAATTGCTTGGTGGGGGAAAACCCCACACACATTTGGTCTCAAGACTACTGAGAGTAGAGGAGAAAAATAGTTTTTCCTTTATAATCAGGAATTGCAAAAACAAAGAAGTGGGCAAAAACAGAAAGAAGTGAAATAGAGCTAAATAAACACAAGAAAGAAATAGAGGGAGAAAGGAAAAATGATATCAGAAATGAAGACAAAATTACATAGTGCCCAAAGAATACATTTACATAACATAACGGCTCTGCAAACAGAAAAAAAACAACCAAGAGAATGAAAATGAAATTTTTTTTAAATTAAAAAGTAAAAAACATCAGAGAGAAAGCATTTGATATAGAAGATAGCAAAAAGAAATTCAATTTATGTTGAGAGCCCCTGCAAATGGTAAAACATTGTTCCGGAACTAATATTTTAAATTATAATAAAATAAAAAAAAACTTTTGGAAATAAAATAAGACCTAAGCTACATTATTTAAAGAACCCACTGAACTCTTTAACCTGTAGCATGCAAATGAAACAAAAAAAAAGATCAAATAACTCACAAGGACAAGACCATTAACTGCCATCAAAATTCTCAAAAACAACATAAAACAAGGCCAAAATGAGGGAGCATTTTCAAAAAGCTGCAGGAAAGAAATGTAAATTTAGTTTATATTCAGTTAAGCCATCCTTTAAGTACCAGGACATAGAGAAACAGTTTTAAACTTACAAGGGCTCCTAATCATCAGCCCTTCTTGAGGAATCTACTACAAGGAAAAGTCACCAAACCAAGAGATGATGGGGAAATTTCAGAAAAAAATTGGTGATGAATATGTAATATATTTAGTTATATATCTAAAAGCAAAACTAAGGTGGAAATAAGAGTAGAAGAATAATGTATAATATGACGGTGCTATATGTCATATATTGCATGTTCTGACAAAGTATAAATAAAACAACTCAATTTGATGGAGAAGGGAAAGCAGAAAATAAGGGAAATAGAGTAACTGCCTTGGTTTATATGCAATCAATAGAAGTTTTGTTTTGTTTTTTTTGTTGTTTTTTTTCAATCAATAGAAGTTAAAGTAAGTACCATTAAAAACTCACAAACCAGTGGCAAATTTTCAAATGTGCGCAGCTCACATTTTTTATATTAGTAAGATAAATACATTATCTACCTAAAAATCGCAAAGATGCAAATGCTACTTGGTATTTCACAATGAAACTTATCTAAAACTACTGTACCTTACAGTAAAGTCATAGGAGCAAGAGGCCAGCACAGAAGAATGAAATGGTGAAAACTATAAAAGAAAACATTTTTTTGAAGTTAGCTATAATTATAACATGCTTAATAAATTAAAATCTAGTCAGGGCTATCACTAAAAAATTATGCTTTTCTAAACCTTATATGCTTTAATTCAAGGCAAAAATATTGTAGCCTTTTATGTACGTTATCATCTACAGAAAAAACACTTAAATTTAAAATAGTATCTTTTACATAAGTAATAACATACTTTCATAAGCTGCCCTTTGCAATAACATTTCTTTATTGTCTTTCTCATCAGTACTTTAATAGTTACATACACATATTAACCAGATTTGCCAACTTTCTAATTTGCAAAATACTTTCACTACATTACCCTATTTCATTCTCAGGAGCACTGTGAACAAAAATTCAAAATATCTTCAACTATTAAAACCTGTGTGCCAGGGCACTGTGTCTCATATGTTAAGTTACAGCCATTAAAATTTAAAATACTAATTTAATTGAAATTTTATATTTTTGAAACAGGAATAGAATACTTATTCTTACTGAAAAGATCAATAACCCCAGCTGGTGTGGCTCATCAGTTGAGCACTGACCTATGAACCAGAAAGTCATGGTTCGATTCCAGGTCAGGGCATACGCCTGGGTTGTGGGATCAATCCCCAGTAGGGTGCATGCAAGAGGCAGCCAATCAATGATTCTCTCTCATCTTTGATGTTTCTAGCTCTCTCTCCCTCTCCCTTCCTGTCTGAAACTAGTAAAAAAAAAAAAAAAAATTTTTTTTTAAAGAAAAGATCGATAAAGTACATTTTACCTTCTGTGTAAAAAACAAAGAATGAAATTCTTTAAATTTCTGTTTCTTAATCTGCCTGGAGTTAAATAGAAGCTGGAAAACTAAATTATGGCTGTTATAAACAGGCAAGTTTCTTAGGAGCAGCAGAAAAAATTTATTTCATCCTCTGCTGTTTACAGAGTGGAAAATTTTTTATACCTCAAATGTTTGTGAACATTCATATATACTATCATGTTAGAGAAAAGAAAAAAAGTAACCATTTTGCTATATGAGTTTCAACAAAATAAAGAGACCATCTCACTGAATAAGAAATTATGAAGCATATAATACTAAAAGTAATTATTATAGTTTAAAAATATTAAAAGAAATAGTATATCTGGGGAGGGAGGGCATGTATGGGAGTGGGGGGGCAATAGTAAGATATGTACACATATAATACCTTAATAAAAAAAAGAAAAAGAAAAAGAAATAAATAAATAGCAGATTGTGGATGACAGAAAAACAAAAATTATTTAACTCTAAGTATGAATTTACTACATTGTCCCAATTCATTCAATAATTATTCAAATATTTTACCTAATATTAGCTTTCAATGTTCACTATAACTAGTTGGATAACAAAAACATTCATAAAAAAGAATTAATATCTCCCACTTATAAGCACCTTTTATATTTCATTGATTGTATTTTATTCTATGTATAAAAAGAAAAGATAAAAACTTACTTTCACTCTCCTGATAGCATAGGTGTGACCAAGCAGTTCAAACACTGGTTGTCGAACATTCCTCAAGTCCCAGCCCCTCAAACTACAGTCAACTGCCCCCGTCACCAGCAAATTCTGACAGCAATGCAGAGAAAAATAAACTATGACAACTCTTCAATTAAGTAGTGTCCAGGTTCTTCTATTAGAAACAATAGTATCTATTTTCGGATTATTATTTAATCAGAACCCAGGAGTCATTCTTGAGAAGTTATATGACAATTTATAGAAAGGAATCAAAATATACATCAGAAAAGCAAAAATTAGTCTGACTTGAGAGAAAAAGAACTCCATATGCTTTTAATATGTATGGAACACTACTCACTACAGAAAAAGGCATGGTCCCAAATAGTACTGTAGATTTTCCAATCCACCTTTAGTAATATTAATAAGTATGTAATGGATTAAAAATTATATCTGACAATGAGCCAACCTTTCTCTTCAGCATGCCCTGGGGGTTTTCTGGGCATTAAAAGGCAAAGGTTCTGTTAATTTAGGAATATTTGAAAGCAAAAGTATAAATTAAATCTTTATATATTTTTCTAAATCTAAATCAATCATTGTTCCCAACTCCCACAGGACATGGCTTAATATGATATCTAACTGTATCAGAAAATCTATGCAAATAATGATAAGCCTCCTTATCTAGTGGGTTTTGCAACTTCTGCTTTTTATAAACTCAAGTGGATCCAGAGTTCCTGGCTGAATAAGCCAAGTGCACACTCAGTCCTATCCCACATCAACCAGACCAATAATTCATTGTCTCAGTGTGTTGGGCTTCAGTATAAGATCATTTAAAAATAAGTTCCAATGTTTAAAAAGAAAATTAAAAGCACTCTCAAATGTCAATGGGCATCTTTTTTAGAATTTCCAAATATATAGTTCACAACTTCATTTTCCTATATGAAAAATTCATTATGATGAGAATAAACTGTAGTTATCAGCACTGAAATTTTTATTTTGATCAAGTATTACTATTGTATAAGTACTGTATTTTCTTTTAATCTATTTTATTTCTTTTTATGTAAAAAAATTCTGCCAATATAATGTTCTCTTAATTTTTATTCATTAATTTAACACAGGGGATAATAAGGCATATGTTTTACTTCTTTGTCACAGTAACAGACCACTTCAGGTATATAAATGTATATATGTCAGCACATATTTGATCCATTACTATTTCTAATTCACATGTTTCTGTGGTTAACTGAAGCGTTACAAAAAGTAAAAATGGACACTGCTATCTTAAGAAGCATGAAGCTTGGTTAAGCTTATAAGGGAAGATAAAACAGAAAATATTAAAAACTGGTGGAATGTTAAATTAAAAATCAACCTACAAATAGTTCAGCAGCCTGAGTAGCAAATGAACAAGGATGGAAAGCAAAAGTTGACACAAATTGGCAGGGTTAAGAGAAAAAAAAAAAAAAAAATCACATAAATTGTGAAGCAGTTTCCAAAACAAACAAGTAAGACTGCACTGTTGAACTTTGAAAATTTCTGTTTCTTATTCTGCCTGTTTTATGTGCACTTAAACCCAATTAATGCTAATGCAGGTCACTCGCAATCATCAATTAGAAGTGAAAGGGACTAAATTTAACTTAATGGTCCACAAACACTATCAAATCCACATAAACAAAGACAAAATAAAATCTAGAACATTTCACCATTGGGAAGGGCTGGACAAATCAGGACAGAGCCAGATAGCTTACCTCATTGTATTTACACCAGTCGCAACTCAAAACTTCTGCCTGATGTGCTGGAACCACAATTCTGACTCCTGCTGCCTTCACATCCCAAATCCTCAGAGTCTGGTCACCTGGTGAAAGAGGAAGACTTGATAACTGTGCATCACACCACCTGCATGCTCAATGACATGTATTCATGATGGTAAGTCATGGGAAACACACTGCTTTCTGAGAGGATACTGCCATCTGCTTATCACATAAATACACATATTGTTTAACTATAATAATGCATTATAAAATCTACTAAAACTGATAAACTACAACAAATAACACACCGTGACAATGTTTTTTAGATGTTCAAATTGGAAAAACCTGAGTCTCACACTGAGAAAAGCACAATGCTGACCAAACACACGTGTGTTTTTCTCTTTAGGAAAAGAGCCCAAAAATTCTTGCTTCTATTAAATAAAGTTAGCGCCCTGTACCAGCACATGCTACAAGAAATAAAACAGTAACAATTTTATTACTGAACATAGAATTTAGTGTAATAAAAGTTTCTGCAAAGCACCAATCATGACCGCTAGCACAGAGTAGATATTTTAATAAATGGCATATAAAAGTGTTAAATCTTTTTTTTAAATACATTTGATTGATTTTTTTTTTTTTTTTTACAGAGAAGAAGGGAGAGGGATAGAGAGTTAGAAACATCGATGAGAGAGAAACATCAATCAGCTGCCTTCTGCACAGCCCCAAATGGGGATGTGCCTGCAACCAAGATACATGCCCTTGAACGAAGTCGAACCTGGGACCCTTCAATCCGCAGGCCGACACTCTATCCACGGAGCCAGACTGGTTAGCCAGAATGAGTGTAAAGGTTGAGTATGAAACAGTGAAATGAACTGAGTAGCAAAAGGATGTATATTGGGCCCAAATAATTTAATTTAATTGAAATACCAGATGCCTATCAGAAATCATATGACTTTTTCTTAGTTAGAGTAGAATGAGGTTTTTCTTAACTACTAGACCCAACATATTCACACATGGCTATCATTTATGTAATTATATGGAGTCTGTAAGAGCAGTAACTTAGTTTTCATGGTTCACACGAAAGTTTACTTCACATTAATCCTCTTTCCACAACGAGCTCAAATATTCTTCCCTTCTAGCTCATATAATTTAGAAATATAAATTCTGTACTAATATGACTACCATGAACTAGACAAAATGCAACGTCCTTAGAGAACTCTGCTATGGAAGATAAATCTAGATCTAAATCTCTAACAAATCCCTCTTTTTGGCCTGTCTTAATTTAGCTAATGATAAATTTATTTTTAGATTTGCATACAATTTTGAAGGTTACTAAATCTTTGAGTAAGTTTTTTAAAGGAACATATTTCATAGCACACAGGTCTAGCGCTTGATTTTCATCAAAACCCCTCATATCTATTTTAAGCCTTCAGTGAGCAGCATTTGGCCCCCCAGAATGTATCCGATACTTCCACCTAATCAGGATTCAACTCCTCCCATTTTCAGGTACTAGTTTATAGTTTGGGCACCACTCTGTCCCATTTCCCATTCCCAACTGCAGCAACTAAGCCAGCAGAAGCCAACTAACACATTACATACCCCTGTCCAACCACAGAGACCTTCAGAGCCAATGAGAGAAAACAAAACTTTCCTAGATGTCTGAGAGCCTCTCATTTTTTCATACAGCACAGAAACCAAAAACGATATGGGGTTAAAACTACTGCCATTTTGCCATCACGTGGTACCTGATACTGAAACCAGCTGAGCAGAAGACAGAACAAAAATGAGGACAAGAACATTCTTCAAACCCTATATCCAGTCATCTATACTAATAAAAGCCTAGGTGGTCTTTGCATGCAACGTCATCACAAGATGGTCACCACAAGAGGGCTGCCACAAGATGGCCATATGCACAGTGGAGGCGGGACCCAGCAGCTGCTTTGTGCAGTGAGGCCTGGGGGTCCCGGAGTCTCCACTGCCTCATGCAGAAGAAGCCAATTGGGCCAGAAGGGGAGGGGGCAATCGGGCCGGCAGGCAAGGGCAGTTGGGGCCATCATGCCAGTAGGGGAGAGCAGTTGGGGACCTTAGGGCCGGCAGGGAAGGGCAGTTGGGGGGAACCAGGCCAGCAGGGGAGGGCAGTTGGGGTTGATCAAGCTAGCAGGGGAGCAGTCAGGGGTACTCAGGCTGGCAGTCAGAAGCAGTTAGAGGCAATCAGGCAGGTGAGTGGTTAGGAGCCAGTGGTCTTGGATTGTGAGAGGGATGTCTGACTGCCAGTGGGATTGGACCTAAACTGGCAGTTGGACATCCCCTTAGGGTTCCCAGATTGGAGAGGCTGCAGGCCAGGCTGAGGGACACCCCCAGTGCACAAATTTCATGCATCGGGCCTCTAGTGTCTATAAAGCCAGTTCTAATTCTGGACTTTAAAACTATGTGAGCAAATAAATTATCTTCTTCCTTAACTAGTTTGGGTCAGAATATTTTTTCAATTTCAACAAAACAAGTCTGGTTGATATGACCACTATTTATATTCATTTCTAATATAACACATGAAAATAATGTCATTAAACAGATGATCTTTTTTTCTACTAAAGCTAATGATCACTGTTGATAAAAGACTGTTTTATACACTATATTTACAACATACAGATATTTTTAAATGTTAAGTTTTATGATTATACTGTTAATATTTTACATACAACTAATCTTTTTTTGTATTCAGTCTCACACTGAATACTCCATATGTAATATCCAGAGTCAATATTATATATACCACGCTACACAAAAGGCCAATGGAACAAGTGGTGTGTGTGACTCAGTTCACATAAAGGGCTAATATACACAATTCTGCTTGACATTTAAATAAATGCAGCTGTGTTAGTTCATAATTTTGTCACTGTCAGATTTTGCATTTGGTCTTGGGCATAAAAAAAGAACAAAGTAAACTGGAGACAATTTGAGAACTTAAATAATAATATAAATTAACAAAATTATATACAATAATAAGATAAAGGAATTTTTTTTTAAATATGTTAGTATTTCAGGGAGTTTTACTTAATAACACTTTTCCAAATATGTAAAATTGCACTCATTATTAATTCTAATTTATTATGAATCATGACAATCAAAGCTCCCAGCGGACATGTCTTCATTGTTTTACCCTTGAAGCATGTTTTAGTTAGTTCATTGAAAGTGGATCTATTCTATAGCATTAATTCTATTCAGGGTTTGAAATGTCTCCTTTGAAACTGTAGGATATGAAACTAAGGGGCATGTCTTCTCTAAGAAAATATGCTAATATAAATTTGATTCACATCTTCATTAAAATTTTAATTTAATTGTACTAATGCTCTCTGTATTAGAGCTTTTCACTAATAGTAAAATTATAAAAATTACAATATGTATAACCATTACACTGAACTGTGGTCATCTTACAGATGTTATTAATTATAAACATGAAACTCATTAGCATTTACAATAAATTAAAGCACAAACGATGATTACCTCAGGTTATATAGTTAGGCTAAAGAGTTAATCCAAATTAAATGTATCAGTATTGCTATCATTTATTTAATACATAAATGGCCTTATGACTAGCTGCACAACAGAAAGATAAAAGATGAAAGAATGAATTTAAGCTTGGAAAAAGAAATGTGACAAGAAAAAATATATTGTTCTTCCCATCCCAAAAGCCTTGATGTACTTCTTTCTCTATTTTAAAATTATTTTAATACATTTAAATATATAATATAAATGTATATATAATTCACAATATATAATTGATGGATATTCTTTTCCATAAGTTTATCAAAACTATGGTCCAAAAACTCTTTCTGAATGGTGGTATGATTTATTCAATTCAGTTATACTATATTAAGATTACTAAGAAATCTGTACAATCAAAAACTGTTTTCTAAAAACAATGCTTTCAATGGGGATAAAGAATTTGGTATCTGGAACAGGAGAATTCCTGACTCATAGTCACAAAGTTATTGTCCTATGCAATTTCAACAACAACAAAGGTTTTTATAGCTATAAACATATAAAACCTAACATCACTAAGCAAATTCAGCCTTTAAAAGTATCTGACTTTTTCCTAAAGAATATTCCCCATAAATATTTTAAATCTTTTTGTACCATATATTCTGGAGTGAGCCAAAGAATTTTTATGGCGAAACACAAGAAAATGTTAATAATGGTTAAATAAAGGGGAGGGGGAGGAAAGGCTTTTATTTTTTATTTGGCATGTTTCTGTGTTGTTTGAATTTCTGCACTGTAGGTACATGGTTCGAATAGGAATTATCTAGAATACCACTTTTTTTAAAGTAATAAAAGTAAAAAATACAAACTGATTATCTTACTTAGTCAATCACCACAATATTTATGATTAATTAGCACATGTTACATATCCTCATAACTGTTACTCCAACTTAGCAACCTTTGTTCTGATAAACAAACCAAAGATAAAACCTTTTCAGCAAAGCAGCTCAGGGGCTAGTAAAAACAGCTAGACTGGTTCCTAATTTTGAAAGATTTATTAGCAGTTGTAATCTGCCTAAGATAAATTACATTTGTTCCTTAATAGTGTGTTCTATCTAATTCACACTATTAAAAGTCTTGGTGTAGCAGATACTACAATATCACTAAAAACTGGTATTCCATATTCTTAACCACATGATCTCTAACTCCAAATGCCTTTCAATGGACTGCTTCCTCTCTGTGGAGAACAGTTCTCTCTCTAACCCAGGCAGAAGGGGTTGCTCTTCCGTTTCAGCTTCTTGCCCTGTCACCCTCTGGAGGACCCTGACACTGAACTTGTTCATGTAAAATCAGGAGAGCACAAGAGAGAGGCTAGACTGGTGGGAAGAAAAGGTAAATGATGAAAGTACAAGAGCGGAGAGGGCAGGGTTGAAGGGGTGTGAGAAGAATGAGGCAAGTGGCCCAGGGAAAGGAGCTCCAGAGCAGCTAGAAATGAGTGAAAAGCCAGACAGCTACTTAAACCGCCATTAGATTAGGCAGGTGGACTGCGCTGCTGTCAACAGCACTGCAGAGAACCTAGGCAGTATGTCTCTACAACTTAAAAGTTTGGCTGTTCAGATTTTACATTATTTATGAATTGGCCCACAAAACACGTTTGTAAATCTCTATGCAAACAGTTCAAAATGTAATTATTAAAGTTAACAAAATAAATTTTCTCTATAAAAAATAGAGACATAAATATAAGTATCTACTTCACCTTAAAATTGCTAACATCAATCAAAAGCAAAGCAACGGTCAGAAAAAAGATCATACCAAAACCTATCTTTGCTATGGCTTAGGAGCAATGAATTACAGAGAATACTCCTAAAAGGAGGGTAAACATCAAAGAGAGACTAACGCCAAAGCCTTCACTTGCTCTTTGTCCCACACTCTTACCTCATCAAAAAGAAACACATAAGTCAAATGGTTAGAATCGTCAAAAAGTAATCCAGGTTGGTAAAGAATGTCTAGAGGTTGGTAAAGAATGAAAAAGTCTAAAAAGCACAAAAAATTGTGGGTTGTTTTGTTTGTTTGTTTGTTTGTTTGTTTTAAGTGTTATTTCCTTGGAATCTAAGGTACACAGCGCCACCTATTGGGGAAAACAAGACCACCATTCACTACAAGTAAGACTTTTGGTAAATATGGATTATTTACCTGAGGCTGAAGCAAAGCAACCAGGCATGTGGGGAGACCAGATTGTGCTATAAATGACACTTTCATGGCCTCTAAAGGTGCATAAAGACTTGCCAACATTTGGATCCCACTACAAATAAATGAACAGATCAATTACTTAACAGGTAAATTCAAATGTATGCTTTCACATATAATATATATAAACACACACACACACACACACACACACACACACACACACACTATATATATGTGTCTCAAGGACTTTTTAAAAATCTATTTTTAGCCGAGACCGGTTTGGCTCAATGGATAGAGCGTCGGCTTGGGGACTGAAGGGTCCCGGGTTCGATTCCGGTCAAGGGCATGTACCTTGGTTGCGGGCATATACCCAGTAGGGGGTGTGCAAGAGGCAGCTGATCAATGACACTCTCTCATCGATGTTTCTAACTCTCTATCTCTCTCCCTTCCTCTCCGTACAAAATCAATAAAATATATATATATTTTTAAATCTATTTTTACATAAAGCAAGATGGCATTTATGGGGCCAAAATAATCAATGTTAAGCTGATTATTAGTTTACAGCCAAAAGATTAAAAAATATTAAATTTTAATAAATGCTTTCATACATTTAAAAAAATAAAATAAGCTGCCTAATTTAAAAGCTACGTAAAAATATTCTAGAATAGAAAAAAAGCATTGGAAGCTTTAGGGAAAGGAATATTTGTTTTTAAATACAGTAATATCAACATACCAGTTTGATGGTTTGATCCCATGAACCAGATACCACAAGGTGTTCGCCTCTGGTTTGGCTCCAATCAACACTATATACCTATAAAACATTTAAAAGTGTTATTTAGAAAGCAAAAGGGCATCAAGTTCAATATTATATTTTATCTCTATAACAGTGATAGCCAGCTAGAACAACTAATTTACTTTGTTGAAACATCAAGTCTACAAATCTTACCACAGTGTCTGAGAAATAGAAAGTTACCTTGTCCACTCCTCCAGATTTATTCCTTACAGATTCTACTTTAATAAAATTCTACAGAATATTCCCAAATCTCCTTCACTAAAACAAATTATACGTATTTTTAAACCTACCACAGGTCACTGTTTGCAGCACCCTGAGGAAATGTCAAAGTAGATCAGAAAGCCATCTAAGAAAGCTTGCTGGGTCAATGTTTACCATAAAAAATTAAAATTCAATTACTATCACTAGCTGGCCTTTCTCAGAAAAAGCTTATAGGAACCAGGTGATCCTTCCAGATCTCTTGGTAAACAGGTTTAGTTATCCAGTGCGGCTATTCTAACCTATGCTTCACTGCTCTCAGTGAACCATTTCAAATAAACTATTTGGAAAAAATTTCAATGTCATTTTATACAACAGATTATATATAGATCACTACTATAAGCTAAGTTCAACAGAGTACTTGCATAATTATACTTTATGAAAGTAGTCCCAACATGGACCTGAGTATGTCATTAAATGTGATCAGCAGGTTGTTTTAAATCTAAAAAAGCCACCATATTTATGTAAGAAGTATGAGTATTTGGAGTTAGTAGTGGTTTAAGTATGGGTTACCTGTTCTCAGCTGCCTAGTGCTAAGCTGAGTATCTTGGAGCCTGAGTAAAACCAAAAAATTAGTAATTCTGATCCTATCTTTATTTTCCAGTAGAACTGATATTTTGTTAATTGTAGATTTTTGTGTTAATTTTTGTTTTTGTTTTTTAATTACTACACTAAGACATTATTTATTTTGACTACTAAGTTTTTTGGGGGCTACTTTAAATTATATACTCAAGGTGAGGGCCTTATCCAGTTTGCCCTAGTCCTGGCCCTGCTGCTACCCATATCCATGCAAAAGAGAAAAGAGCAATTGTAACACTACAGAAACCACAATCCAGTAGCAGAGAGCAGCTCATAGAGCAGGGGTCTTCAAACTGCGGCCCGCGGGCCACATGCGGCCCGCAGAGGAGTCTGATCCGGCCCGCCAGGTTTTTTGGGCAGTGAGCGCAGCCGAGGTGTTACAGTAGGAATTAGTAGTTCATATAGTCCGGCCCTCCAGCTCTCTGAGGGACCGTGATCTGGCCCCCACTTTAAAAAGTTTGAGGACGCCTGTAAAGTATACAGAAGGGGCAGCAGAAACCAAAGACTGCTACATCCATTTGTTAATTATGGGTGGAAAGGCAGGTTTGGAAGCAATCCCTGAAGATTTTGAGAGCTGAAGAGCTTTATTTTATCTTCTAGTCCAGGGCTCAACAAATATCTTCTGTTAAGGACCAAATAAATATTATAGGTTTTCTAGACCATTTGCTCTCTGTCAAAACTACTAAACTCAGTCTTGTAGAGCACAAAAGTAGCCACAGATGATATTTAAGGAACGGGCATGGCTGTATTTCAATAAAACTTTATTTCAAATCAGACAGTGGGGTGGGTTTAGCCTTGGCCCAAGTATAGTAGTTTGGCAACCTCTGCTCTGGCTGATGTGAACAGTGAAAAATAACTATAAAAGCAAATCTTTATTGAGCACCTACTGCATGCAGGATGTTTCCATAAACACGTTGTGTATTTTATCTCATTTAATCTTCACGTCTATTAAGTAGAAAATATGTCAAAGTTTAATTCCCAAAGCTAGAGCTGAAATCTGAACCTGGGTGGCCTAATTATAGGGCCCACAGTTAACCACTTTGCTAGGCCATCTCTACAGCATGCTGCTCCAGGGCACTGGTGAACGGGAACTTCTTGGTGACAATGAGCTGTGATATTAAGGAAATAAAACACTACCCCATTGGTATCACCCTTCACTATAGCTATCTTTGGGCTCAGACTTATTCTATTTTGTTTTCATGAACTAAACATATCCAGAACTTAAAGTCCCTGTTCACCTGGTTAACTCCTGCTCAAATGTCAACTCTTGGCCCGATGATGTCCTTCATGACATACGCTTCCCCTGATGACCCCTCAATGATTTAAATGCTTCCTTCTGTGCGTTCCAACAGCACCTACTTCTGATTCAGCATTTACCATATTTTACTAATATTCATGTTAAATAACTTCTAGATTTTGAAAGACCCCTCTAAGTAAAATCTTAAGAGGTACATCTTATACATCTATGCTCATTGCAATATAACTCAATAAATGTGAATTAAAATAATTAAACCAACCAAATTTATGTTCACAATCTGTAACTTTGCTTTAAGTAGGTATAAAGAGTTACTGCTTTCATTTTAAAAGATAACTGAATACAACTAAAAACTAACATCATGAGCTCACACTCCACTGCCTCTATCCATTTCCAGCCTGACGCAGGACTTGAAACCCTATGACCCCTCACCTTTTAAAACGGCAAGAGACCCCATAGGCTCAGAGAGAGCCCAGCCCTGATGAGGTAAAAAGCTGGAGGCAAGAAAACTATGCAGATGGCAGTGTCCTGCCAGCTGACTTATCTGTCACACAACATGGCAAGCATAGGGGCTCTAGGACAAAACTAAGGATAGGCACACATGATGAAGTTAAAAATGGATTAATAAGAAGGAAATAAAGGTGACTCAATCAATAACCAGTTTATTTGCTTTACTGTGTTTAAAGTATTAGGACATGGGGTAGTAACTAACAGTACAAGTCAGGATACTGTGTTTTAAAAAAAGAACTATAGACCTAAGTATACAAGTGGTGCTGGGGTGGAAACTTCAGCTTGATGCCAGCAGAGAAGGATTCAAGCAGGGCATTGAGGGCTGGCTACAATGTTAACAGCAGGAAGCAGAGGTGCAAACACTGACCAGAAACTCCTCCAAAGCTATATGTGGGCATAGAAAGCACCAAGATATTAGGACTAGTGACCACCGCATAACGCCAAGGTTTTGTGCCTGGGGACTGTGAGTGATGCTGGCTTGAACAAACTGGAAGACTGGAGGAAGGAAGATAAGGTGTAATTTTAGACATACTGAGTTTGAGGTGACAGCAAGATACTCAAATGGAAATGTCTAGTAAGAACAGGAGTTTTGCATTAACTTCAAGCACTGGAAAACGTTTATAGCCATAGGATGTTTGGGATAAAGTCCATTATCCCAACCTTTAGTCACTCACTAACCTATTCAATAAGTATTTATTAAGCACCTACTACAATGAGTGGCCAGATTATTATGATCTCTGAACGCATACTAATCTGGCCACTCAGTGTACTTTCTCTTGAGTACCTCATTTATTTGATATCAAAGATACTATAAATCTTGCACCTGATCAGTTTTCCCCTTTGCACTGGCTGATAGAAGGCTCAGGGCAAATAGGTGGTTGATCTCCAGCAAAAGTGTAGAATACTTTTGGTGCCCATTTGAGATACAAATACACTGAGTGGCCAGATTATTATGCAGCCATGGTTACGGGTTTATATATAATTTCTCTTAAGAGGCTACACCCATCAACTACCAGCTAGTTTATAACATTCTTCTAACTGTTCTCCCCATTCATTTTTGCTCACCTCCAATCTGTTATCTACGTTGCATAAAAAATTACCTTTGTAAGACACACTTAAAATCACCCCCCCCCCAAACACATACACAAAGCCCTTCAGTCATTTCATCCTACATAGTTCCTGCAATTTACAATCCTCACTCTACACTGAGATGTATCCATGCTACTTACTACTGAAAAATAAAAGCATGCAAAACTACACATGACTAGGGATTCATACATATGTAATAGAACTAAAAGAAAAAAATACACAAAAAGAAAACTGAGGATAGTGGTTGCTCATGGGAAGAAAGAAGGAAGGAAAAAGGGAAGGAAAAGAATAGGATAGAAAAAAAAAGAAGAAGAAGACAGAAGGACAGTAACCAGGTACTCCACAGTATCGCTAAAGTTTTATTTCTTTAGCGAGGTGATGAATATACACGTGTTAGTCATACATTTTTTACATGTTTTTATATGCATATAACATTTCAGAATAAATTTTTTTAAATCTTCAATGTCTTTCCACAGACCTTAACTTAAAAGCCAAAATGCTCACTGCTCTGGGCACACAGGCTCAATCCTTCCCCTTCCAGCATGCACTTCCCTTTGCTGCTAACCCTGTTTCTCTGACCTCTCCACCTAAATAGCCAATTCCTACTCTCCTATCAGACTCAAGGACGTCCTCTTCCCCAGACCAGACCCTCCCCTCTTGTAGCACTCTGCACATTCACAGCCCTGGACACAGTACAACTCAGATGACCAGCAGCTTACGACTCTCTCCCCAGAGGGGCAAGGACTGCAGAAGGGTAAGGACCTGCCTGACTGGTTCATCTTCCCCAGTAGGCCTTTGCAGACAGTAGAGTTAAAGTTTTTGGAATGAATGAAGGGGCAGAGACACAAATCTGAATGGAAAACACATCTCCCAATAGTCCACTCTTCTACCTTTTCCCTACTCCCAATTCCCCCTCTACCACTCAAACAATGCACATGGCAAATGGTCAAAGTATAAAAAAGGAGAAAAATATGCAGCTATGCTTTAACAGCAGGGTCCTCTGCAGGCCTACCTTATGAAATTGCTCTTAGCAATGGTGAAGAAAATTAATTTAAAAATTTCAAAAAGAAAAAGATACTGGACAATATTTTGTGCTACTTTATGAAATCTAAACCTCATCAAAATAAGTTTGAGAGGACAAATTTTATTACTGAAACTAAGTCCCAAAGAGCTCATTTGAAATCTACTGTACAATATTGCCCTTTTAAAAGTTGGCTTATTTAATTAAAAATCATCAAAGAAAAACTGTATCACACTTATCTGTATCAATACGAAGGAAAGGAACACTGACTTTTAATTACTGAGTAGAAAGAGCTACATCCTTCTT